GGAGTAATTAGGATGTACGCCGCCAACGTCGCTCACTGATTAGCATATCAACAGCGCCTGGGGACTGCCGTGCGCGGGCTTGGGGTGCACGAGCCCATTGTTCAGCGCAGCATCCCCTTTGGAGGTAGGGAGGATAAATAGAGGAGCGCAGAGGGGAAATCGCTCTCTTACTCCAGCGCCAGGCGACCAGACGCAGCTCCAGCCAGCGACCCGGACGTCCGTGCGACGCACCGAGGCGCGCGGTGAGCACCGGGATCAGCGAACCGCCGTGGACACTTAACAGTGAGTAAGAAGGGGAATTAGAATCATAGCAGATAAATAGGGAATAGGTACAGGTTTAGTGGAATAGGCCGGCCTCGTCGACTCACTGATTCAACATCAATTCGCAGGTGGCATATAATAAATCATTAATAGCGAAGCGTGGTCTCGCGTGATCTCGTCGTGCAGTGTGAGCGTGTGGGTGCGCTGTGTGCACAGTGGTTCGCCACGTGAGTGAGCGCTGCGCGGAGCTGAGCGCGCGGGTTGCGCGTGGGTACGCAGTGATTCTGTGGTGCTGCGGCTCGCCTCGGGGGAGCGCTGCGCAGAGCGGTGCGAGAGTGGGTGTCGCGTGTGTTCACTCCGTGTGTGATACAGGTGCGCGAGTATAACGTGAGTTGAGTTGGAGTGCGCGGAGCGGCGTGTGTGTGGGCGTGCGTGCGTTCGCTCCGCGTGGGTTGCAGGCGCGCGATTAGGAAAGGGAAGTATCATAGTAGAGAGGGGCAGAATACTAATCGGTGATTAACCATGCCCATTACGCGGACCCGCGGTGGAGGGGAATCCGCGGGCGACGGCTCCCACACCATAGGTGAGGAACTTAGCAGCGGTTCGCTTAGCAGCGGGGGGGCGATTGATGATGCTAGCCCGGCCGTTAGCATTATCGAGGGAGGGATCTCGGGGGCTAGCGACCCCCACAAATCAACCCACTCGCGCCTGCAACATGGCTTCATCCCAGAGGTTGCAATCAGGTACCCGATACCCGTATCCTACCCGTACCCGGCCGAGTAGGGTACGGGTACGGCCGGGTACGGGTAAGGTATCAAAACCCGTTTGCGACCTCTGGTTGGGCCACCTTTGGTTCCAACCACGTTGAGTAGTTAAATTACACTTATCTATTCCCCACCCGGCTGTAGATGTGTCGTTTTTTTTTTGTTAGGTGCGGAGACGGAGAACACTTTGAATGTCATGGATATTCACTCTTTCAAACCCACCGAGAAGGAGAATAAACGACCCATCAATCACACTCGCTCTTGCAACGTTCACGCTCGGGGAACAGACTGAGACCAGTCCAACTGATGACGTCACCCTGCTGCTGCTGCTGCTTTATATAAGACCGGGAGCCAGAGCAGAGCCTCACCATTCTGGCGAATTGCCCGATGATGCTGGATGCAATTACCAGAGAAACGTCGTACTCAAAAATTGTAAATGTTGTGGTTTCACGCTTCAACACACCGGTGGGCTAAAGCAGTGAACTATTTGTCTTTTGATAATTGGTTTTTTACCCTTCTATCTGGCAACAAAACTGACACGTTTTTTTACAAGGAGTCATGTTTGCATAGACCACAATACCTGCAGCCATAATGCAAACAAAAACATAACTCTGATAATATATGCACTGTCCTTGAAGTTGATTGGTCCACACCCGAGACAGCTTTCCTTTGAGTTGTGCGCCTTTTGGCCTCATCTGGTCCAACCCATGTGAGACTAGGCTCTAGTTTTCCCCACCACATTTCGAAATACGCGTTTAGATTATTTGGCTGCTAAACGTTTTCATGTGATAAGCCACTTCGGTGAGCGATGATTTGTGGCCAGGTTGCTTCTGAAAAATAAGCTAATAATAGTTCAGTGGGCCTTACCTGAAACAATAAAACAAGTTTAATTTGTTTGAAGTGATTTGTTTACCTTTCCTATACTTTGCACTCCTATCGTGGTTTTTGTATTGTTATGTTCTGACCTGCCCCTACCAGACATGTGAAAAAGAGCTTTGTCGCTCATCGGATTCCTCCAGAATTTACAAAAAGGACACCCGAAACTATAACAACCCTGGGCCCCCCATCAAACTGAGTCGCACTTGAAGATGTGTTGGGTGTGGGGGTCAGGGCATCGCATAGTTTGTTCATCGCTGACCGACACAAGATCCCGATCTGAACTTTGCTCGCAAAGGTCATCGTGTTTGTCTTGACGTGCGGAGAGGGTCAATATTTTGTTCTCGCTTCTCTCTCTGTATACACACAGATACCATCCATCTCTGTACACACAGATACCATGCATTTCAAGATGCCCCCGCAAAAATAACAGAACACATTCGCATTCACTTCCTGGCGAAGGGTCGCAGCACGCAGAGCGAAACGACGGACACTGTGTGGAACCACGCGCGCTACAGCCGGGAAGACGCGTCGCAGAGCTGTGACACGGTGTCCCCCCCCCATAGCCATCAAAGACAACAAAGATCCCCCATGTAGCCTTAACAGACTGTTGGGGCAAGTGCTGTTAGCGAGCCCCTATGAAGGCCGGCACGGCACACGAGGGGGTGGGTGGCCAACACCACGCCCGGCCGCCTTTGTCTCCCCGGACAGCGATATTTTGACACACCGCACCGGGTACTGATTTGAGGCCGAGTCGACGTAGGGGCGGCCCAGGACCGGTTCAGATAATCGTCACCGGTGTTGACCCGTGAGCGGGAGTCGAACTCGGGTGGGCCGGGGTTCGTAGCGCTGCGCCGCCACTCCCCACCGGCCGCAGCCACCGCAGTCTCTCTCACACGCAACCTCCTTCACCTCTCTCCTTCACCTCTCTCCTTCACCTCTCTCATTCACCTCTCTCATTCACCTCTCTCATTCACCTCTCTCATTCACCTCCGATAACACTGGTCAACAAAAAAAAAAAATTTCCGGCCTGGACTTTTGCAGCTGTTTTAGACTAATTTCAGGGTGCCAATTCCAAATCTGATCTCAGATTTGCTCTATCACATCTCATTTTTATGCTATCGGCATACCCCATTTTCATTGATTTTACCCGAAATTAACTCTGTCACTTATGATTGCAAGTTGTTGCGAGTCAGTGACTGCTTTAGTGTTCAAATATGGTGCTGTATTTTTAGGATAGTGTGTGTATATCATTTTATGTAGATATCCACATTTATTTAATATTTTTCTTATGCAGTTTTTATTGAAAATGCAATATTTGATATCTCAAAAACCTGATGTGATAGACAAAAACTGATGCCAGATTTGGAATCAGCACCCCAAAATTACCTTAAAACCGTTGGAATACCTTATGCCAGAAAAAGTGTGTTGACCAGTGTAATCTCACGCAATCTGAACTAACCCCACGGGTCCCTCATATCGGACAGATTCAACTGCTCGGGTTTGACGACGACGCCGCCGCCTGTGCCGGTGTAGATCGCATCAGGGCCTAGATTCGCCACGTTGAAGGACGCTCCTTTTGGTCCAACATTTTTCGGTAAAACCGTGCCGATGTTGTACGTACGCACGTGGGACTTCTTTCGCACCGTGCGTAGCCAACCGTGTTAATCGGGAGGCGCGGGAGGAGGACGAATTAACCACAATAAGCAGTTCGAAGGAGATGAGTTTTAAATCCAGAGTTAAAAGTGCATAGCTACCGGTGGCTTCCGAATATCCGAAAAGCAATCCAGACGGCCGCAGAGGCATGCGATGCGGTGAAATTCTTAAGAAAAAAAATATTCGATGAATTTGACGATTGGATTCATTGCCGCGTTCCGATTCAAGACATTCCTTTCGAGTTGATTTTTGTTGCACCAAGTGGGACCTCGAGAGAAACCGGGGACAGCACCATTCGCAAGAAGTGAAGACGGACGCTTGTGTTGTGACCGAAACGTGTTTAATTTATTATATATATTTTTTCTATCTACGTGACTTTACCGAAAGAACCAGAGTAGAGGGGGGGGGGTTACTTTATTTTAACATTGTTGTGAACGTAGCGGCCACGACTGGGCTGCAAAGAACACGTGAGCCCATTGCACACGACATTTACTGATCGAACTAAAAATATTGATTTCTTACACACGCACAATCACTTAACAATCACTATTCATAAATCGATGCATTTTGCAACCCCCACCCCCACTGAACATGGCCTATAAGACTCTTTGAGACTTTCCTGTATAAGCATGTATTATGTATAACTTTTTTCTCACCGTACGTAGCCAACTGTGCTAACCGGAGGTGCGAACCACACGTGGAATTTCCACTATCATGGTTAGCGGGTAACCGAGATAAGCATCGGCCCACATTTTTCGATTTAAAGCTTTTGTGACTGCAGGGATTCATCTTCTTGGTTCTTTCGGTAAAGTCACGTAGAATGGAAATAATAAAATAATAAAAATAAAACAATAAAATAATTCTCACGACGTTTCGGCCACAACGCAAGCAGCCGTCCTCGGGTGGAGAACAGGTCTGTCGAGAAGACAGAGCCTGGGGTGTGTCATTCAGATTCTGTCTTCTCGACAGACTTGTTCTCCACCTGAGGACGGCTGCTTGCGTTGTGGCCGAAACGTCGTGAGAATTATTTTATCATGTTTTATTTTTATTATTTTATTATTTCCATTCTACGTGACTTTACCATCGGCCCACAGTTCGCTACAGCGGGGCGGCTCGTGGCGGCACGTGGCGGCTCGCGTGTCGGCGTGGGAACACAAGACAGCGAGTGGAGTTCGCGCTCGACAACAATATTCATCTCTTGCCCCCAATTCTATCTCCGTCGCGCCGCGAGAGAGAAGAATCCAATCGGAACTCTCGCCGCCTCCGTGTTGGGAGAGCGGCCCACGGAAGTGGATATCACAGAGCTGCTTCGGATCAATTCTTCAAGACCACGCACTGTCCCATCCGCTCTGCCACAGAGACTGATGGTTATCGCGTGACGGTCACAGCAATATTTATTAATTCCCAGAGCTGGAATTTAGCCAAAGTAAGTGCAGAGACACATTTAACGCGACTTTTTTTTCTTTCATTTGGTCTTTTTTGTTGTTGTGCGTGCATTTATAGAGTGACCGGGCTGAGACCATGGACTCGCTATACAGGGACTCCTCTAAGTACACACATTCAACTTGTGAACTTTCAGAGATACGAACAAACCTGTCCGTGTGTCCAGTTGCAGCTGTTCGGATCGAGCGGCGTAAGTTCAACCGCCACGCAATAGATGGCGGTGGTGGCATCTACATCTGCAGAACGTGAAGAACCAGTGTCATTTACATCTACAGAACATGAAGAATCAGTGGCATCTACATATGCAGAACATGAAGAACCAGTGGCATCTACAGAACACGAAGAGCCAGTGGCATCTACATCTGCAGAATGTGAAGAACCAGTGGCATTTACATCTGCAGAACATGAAGAACCAGTGGCATTTACATCTGCAGAACATGAAGAACCAGTGGCATCTACGTCTGCAGAACATGAAGAACCAATGGCATCTACATCTGCAGAACATGAAGAACCAGTGGCATCTACGTCTACAGAATGTGAAGAACCAGTGGCATTTACATCTACAGAACGTGACAAACCAGTGGTATCTACATCTGCAGAACATGAAGAACCAGTGGCATCTTTATCTACATGAGATTATACAACTTTTAATGCTATTTCCCGTGTTTAGTGTACATGCCATACAACATGTTTGGAATCTATAGGTGTGAAGTTAGGCTTGCGAACAAATCGAGGTCCGAACAGAATCCCTGTACTTGATACATCAATGTAAGTCGATAGGCTCTATGTTCGAGTCTGCCAGCCTCAATCTAATCCGGTGAGTCTCTATGTTAAGTGATTGGCGACCGGGCTGAGACCACATAACAAACTCACTACATCTTCTTGGTTCTTTTGGTAAAGTCACGTAGAAGGGAAATAATAAAATCATAAAAATAAAACATAATAAAATAATAAAATAACATTATATCATTATATAATACAATTTTATTATTTCCCTTCTACGTGACTTTACCGAAAGAACCAAGAAGATCAATCCCTGCAGTCACGAAAGCTTTAAATCGAAATTTAAATTCACTACAATCTTACTCTTAGGTTTTTCGGTAAGTAAATCTAGCTGTGACGGTCCTACCTGATGACGGAGACTTGTGTTGCCTCCGAAACGTCGTGATTTATTATTTTATTTCTATTATTATTTCTATTATTTTTTATTTTTTACCTACGTGACTTTACCGAAAAACCTAAGAGTATGAATCCTTGCAGTCACGAAAGCTTCAAATCTAGAATCACTACAATCTAGCAAAGCCGATTTAGTCAGAGTGCTTGTGCGGCTGGAACCCGGTCCTCAGTGGTGCTACCGCAGCGCTTCTGACCTCTGCGCTGCCACCCGACAGAGGCGTAGCTAGGGGGGGGGGCAGGGGGGTACATGTGTCCCCGGGCACCAAGGTAAAGGGGCGCCAAAATGAGGCTAACGACGTGACATTATAACTTATTGCGGCGGGCGCGGCAGCCTGAAACTACCGCACAAGTCTACACCTCAACCTAAGAGTTTATATATCCCGCCACACACAGCCTACATGTCATGTAATTACATTTTGGTTTGTAATTAAACGGGGGGGGGGGGGGGGCGCCAATTTTATAGTTCGTCCCCGGGCGCAAAATATCCTAGCTACGCCTTTGCCACCCGGTCACCTTTCCAGGAGCTTCCCATTGGATTTTTAGTGGGGGGGGGGCTAAAGGTCAATCGTTCACCTCCCCACAGTCTGCCAACTGCCCCCAAAGACAAAGATCCCCCCCCCCCCCGTATAGCCTTTACAGACTGTAGGGGCAAGTGCTGTTAGCGAGTGGCACCGATGAAGGCCCGCACGGCACACGAGGGGGTGGGTGGCGATGTTTACACACCGCACCAGGTATTCATTTGAGGCTGAGTTCACCTAGCGGAGGCCCAGGACCGGTTCAGATAATCGCCACTGGTGTAGGCCGTGAGCGGGAATCGAACTTCGGGTCGGCGGTGTTGCTTTTTGTTGATGACACCCGAATTTAGAGCTTTTTGGCTCACAGGGTAATTCAAAATAGACTATTACTCCTAACCATTGCACTATCGCCAACGTCCCCAACCCAGCCACCCCCTGCCCCCCTCTACTGCCCCCTCTTCTTGACGGCGCTGCCCTTGGGGCTCCGCTTGCGCGCCGATTTGGGGCTCGGCGCCGGCTGCGGTGCTCGGAGCGCCGCTTCCCGTGCCTCCTTCTCGGCGGCGTGGAGGCGCGCCGCCTCTTCCAGCCGCTCCACGAAGACGTCGCGGGGGGCCAGCGCCCTGCACCGCGCCTCGCGCACGGCCGCCTGCGCGGGAGAGGGGGGGGCAGGGGGCGGCACTAGCGATGAGACGGTGGCTCAATAGAGTACGGGGAGGCCGTGGGAGGGCACGCGGCGAATGAGCATCGGCCAGTCGTCTCGGTCAGTCGACCCCCGTAACACCTAGATCTGTCCCGTGAGCTCCTCGCCCAGCAGCGAGCCTCAAACATTTCACGTGACGGACTCAATGGGCAGCTGGCCTGGCACCGACGCCACGGTGACGAATGGCGGCTGTTGCGTTTGTTGTCGCTGCTGTTGGTGATGAGCAGCATTGCCGCCCCATTATTTGTGTTTGATAGCAGTGCGCTAACCAATGCTGCACACACACATAGACAAAGATCCCCCGTATAGCTTTAACAGACTTGGGGCAAGTGCTTTTAGCGAGCACCTATGAAGGCCGGCACGGCACACGAGGGGGTCGATGGCCAGCACCACGCCCGGCCTGCCTTTGTCTCCCCAGTGCTGACGTTTACACACTGCAGCAGGTACTCATTTGAGGCTGAGTCGACCTAGGGGAGGCCCAGGACCGGTTCGAGTTAATCGTCACTGGTGTCGGCCGTGAGCGGGAATCGAATTTGGGCCGTCGGGTTCGTAGCGCAGCGCCCGAAACACTACACTACCACTCCCCACACACAAAGACAAAGATCCCCTGTATAGCCGTAACAGACATTTGGGGCAAGTGATGTTAGCGAGTAGCACCTGCACACAGACAGAGAGACAGACAGGACGGGCACCTGCAGCTGCTCGTAAATCGTCGTCAGCCGAGCGGCGTCCTCTGCCCTCTCCTTGCGGCCCCTCTCCCTTCTCTCCAGCAGCTCCTCGCGCCTTTGACGGAATTGCCGGATCTCTTCTTCGGCGCGCTTCTGCTCCTCATCCTGCACCGTCGCCCGGTCCTTCACCGCGGCCTCCACACACGAGCCCCTGCACTCCCCCCAGCACCACCACCGCCCCCCAGAGTCGACGCATTAAACCTGACCCTGACCCTGACCTGGACTCTGACACAGCGTAAGTGGCCAACCGTGCTAATCGGAGGTCCAGGGGAAGGACAACAAACTAAACGCAACAACAAAGCAGTTCTAAAGAAATTAGTTTTTCAATCGAGATGATTGAAAAGTGCGCAGCTCCCAGTGGCTTCCGAATATCGCCAAGTGATGGAGTTTGGCAAAGAGAGTCGCTGTCACCGCAGTGACTGGAAACGCCACGAACGTTGCCGAACAAAACGCCGAACACCCGGCGCGCGGGGGCAAGAGTCAAGCGCGCAAAGAATGGATGAGCCACTCCGCACACGCGGGGCACCGCTGGCCCCCCTGGATGGTGCGACGCGTTGAATATCGACGCACCGCTCCGCCAAGCCGCTCATGCGTCGCTGGCCGCGGACGCAGCGCGAGATCGAAGGACCGTTGTGGTCGTTAACAATCGACGACTCTTCGGAGCGAGATCGAAGGACCGTTGGGGTCGTTAACATCGACGACTCCGCGGTGCGAGATCGAAGGACCGTTGGGGTCGTTAACAATCGACGACTCTTCGGAGCGAGAACGAAGGACCGTTGGGGTCGTTAACAATCGACGACTCTTCGGAGCGAGAACGAAGGACCGTTGGGGTCGTTAACAATCGACGACTCTTCGGAGCGAGAACGAAGGACCGTTGGGGTCGTTAACAATCGACGACTCTTCGGAGCGAGAACGAACGACCGTTGGGGTCGTTAACAATCGACAACTCCTCAGCGCAGACCTCTCTGCTGGCAACCGCTGGGATTCCAGGTTCCAATATTGGTAGCGGCCTACGGTAAAACTGCGTTCTCAAGCGCAGTGTGTTGGTCTCAGCCCAACCAGCAAAACAAACAAAAATCCTGATCTCATTCAATTTGATTCCGCGTTTAAGTTCCAGCCATGATAATAAACATATTAGTTTGATTGGCACACAACGATCGTTATTTCTCGTATGCTCAGCGGGCGGGATAGTGCTGCCCCAAACTGTGTATGGGTCAGAGGTCATCTGAAGGGTTTCTCAGAGGTGGCTCTGCGACGTCCGCTTCCGCGGGCCGTTCTCTCGCCCTGCGAGGAGACCCCGAACGGAGAGACCGCTAATCATTCCGTGCGATCCTCACCTGAAGAAGGGCGAGGGGTCGAAGGTCAGGCGAAGCGGCTCGGCAGGAGGCTCATCGCACGGCACGTCCGCCTCTTGCCCTCCGCTCTCGTCGGCTGAAATCACGGGTCACACGCGCGCGGGAGTCACAGCTCGACACCCTGACCCCGACTCCAACCCTAACCCGCAGAGTTGGCGCGTTAACTCCCAAGCACCGGCCCCGGCGCAGCCAAATGGCCCAACGGTGGCGCGTCCGCCACCCGTTGCAGAGGTGCGCGGTTCGAATCTGGCAGGCCGTCCTGGTTGTTACTGCGGTGACGGTGTGTACAAACCGTACAAATACTACACGCTGTCCGCTTCGCAATGGATGTGGAAGATTCCTTGAATCTGGCAGGCTGCCCTGGTTATTACTCATTGGTGGGGACATCACCGCTTAAAACGCAAACGTTCAGGTGTTCAGATGTCTCTATCTGCGAGGAAAGACGCAGGGGGGCTTCACGTCAGCCGGGTTTGTCTCCAAATATATTTCCGCACCCGGCACACCACATCCAGGATACCTCTGGGTATGGCTGTGGCTACTAGTGGTTACGTGCCGCCTACTGCAGTCCATCAACCGGCCCCGACAATATTCGTCGAGAAATTAATTGGCAAAAACGTGAAGCCTTTCCCCAGCTCTTCCATGAAACCCGAATATAAATCAGTCGCTCAGTCACGATCGTGCGTGCGTGTGTGTGTGTATTAATTAGCCGAGAGCGATCGTTCTCAGGGGCAGGTGACCACAACACAAGGCGCTCCAATTCCTCTCGATGACAGGGGGAGGGAAAACATAAAGCAAAGCCCTGTCTCTCACGGTTAAATTTTCATGGCTCTATTTGCATAAATATTCCCCTCGCCTGACATTTCAAACATTGCGAGGGTGACATTCAGTCCAGCGATTTGACACCTTTGGTGCGCACAGACAAAGGTGTCCCGCGTAGCCTTTAACATACTGCTGGGGCAAGTGCTGTCACCACCTGTGTAGGCCGCCGCGGCACACGAGGGGGTGGTGTGGCCAGGGCCACCCCCACACCGCACCAGGTACTAATTTAAGGCCGAGTCGACCTAGGGGAGGCCTTGGGCCGGTCCAAATTTTCACGCCACTACCTTATTGGTCATGAGTGGGAATCGAACTCGTGTCCCCCGGGTTTGCAAGTTCAGTGCAGCAGTAACCACGATGCACACTCGCCCCTGTCTGCAAGCACGCAAGGCAAAGTAGAAACCAAGTGAATGCTCCATCATGAATAAGAACAAACCACTGTTGATTATATGAAAAAAAAAACAAGAAGATTAAATCATAGTTCCTGAGCACGGGCCCAAAAGCTCCTAGATGATGTTGCCCGCAACAAAATAGCGCGATTAAAGTCTTAAGAGATTGCAGCGAATACGTTTCTTAAGTTGAGCAAAGCTGAAAGCACCTGGGAAAAGGGATGATGACGATGATGGGGAGGAGGGAATTCTAAATTGGAGCGGAGCGAGGGGAAGAAGCCGAAAGAGGAGTCATGTGACCTGCAGTGTGGTGAGTGGGAGGGGGAGTGGAGCGAATGGGAGCGGTGGCGTTGCGATTAGCGGCCGGGCGTGGTGCTGACCGCCCGCCACCTTGTGTACCGTGCCGGCCTTCATAGGTGCTCGCGAACAGTGCTTGCCCAAACAACCTGTTCAACGGGGGATCTTTGTGGTGGTCAGTTAGTTAGCTCACTGATCCCCAGCCACGGCTAACGTCGGTGGCGAGCGATATCTGACCCCGCCCCCCCCCCCCCCCCCCCCGGTGAGGGTGGCTGCGGTTGTTTGTACCGAGTGGCGCCGGCGTCACTTCTCCCGTGGGCGGTGGGGCCGGTGTCTGAGCGGCGCGCATCTTGTCCAGGAATTCCTGCCGAGACTTCAGCGCCTGTGGGTCGGGTGGCGGGGTGCGTGGCACACGCGCACGGCACGTGACGTGCAGTGCAGGCAAGAGGGCACGCAGGGGGGCTCACGTCAAGTACGGCACACACAGCACAAAGACAAAGACAACCCCCCCCCCCATAGCCTTTTAATAGACTATATTCTTTGGTTCTTTCGGTAAAGTCACGTAGGTAGAAAAAATAATACAAATAAAGTGAATATTCACGTAGATATAATTTTTTAAATAAAAATAAAGTGAATATTCATGTATATAGAAAAAATTATAATGGAAATAAAGTGAATATTCACGTAAATAAAAAAAATTATAATAAAACGAAAGGGAATATTCACGTAAATAGAAAAAAATTATAATAAAAAGAAAGTGAATATTCACGTATATAGAAAAAAAAATATTGAAAATAAAGTGAATATTCACGTATATAGAAAAAATTAAATTAAAGTGAATATTCACTTTCTACGTGACTTTACCAAAAGAACTAAAGAATATGAATTCCTGCAGTCACGAAAGTTTGAAGTCTAAATTTAATAGACTGTTGGTGCAAGTGCTGTTAGAGAGGTCGACACATCACACGAGGGGGTGGGTGGCCAACACCACGCCCGGCCACATTTGTCTCCCCAATGCTTGATATACAGACCTCACCAGGTGCTCATCTGAGGCTGGGTCGGCCTAGGGGAAGCCCAGAACTGGTTCAGATAAGTCGTCACTTCACTGGTGTTGGTCGTGAACGGGAATTGAACTTGGTCGATGGGTTCATAGCGCAACGTGCAAACCGCCACACATCATCACCATCACTACCACCATGCACTTTACTTGATCCCTTGCTCATGAGAATTCGGGGAGCTGTGTTCGTAGCGCAGCGCGCTAAGCTTGACACCACCGCTCCCGAAACACACAAGAACACACAGCACCACACGTACACCCGTGCCGCCCCCCCCCGTCACCTTGGCCGCCCTCCCGGGCTCGGCGAGCTCCCACGCGAGCTTGACGTGGCGGACGCCGTCGGCCCGGTCGGTGTCACGCCACAGCGCAAGCTGCTCCTCCGTCGCGTCGCTCAGCACGCGCAGCGTCCAGTGCGGGCGGCCCACCTCCAACGCAGGCTGGGCACCCGCCCACAAAGACAAAGATCTGTTAGCGAGCAGCAGCACCTACGAAGGCCGGCACTGCGGCACACGAGGGGGTGCCCGGCACCACGCCCGGCGTACGCACGGCGTACGAAGAGAGCGGTCACAAGCAATTAATTAATAAACATTCTACGGTCACGGGCGGGTAAAGCAACCCCAGTATTCTATCTCGGCAGCGCCGGCTCAGAGTCCACTAGCCCTCCGCGACCCCACGACCTCCCGATAGAGAACCACCCGCAGACAATACACCTCCCTGCGGGTTTGGCAACGGGACGCTGGACGGCAGGCTGAGCGGGATGCTGGAGGAAAGGCTGGACGGGACGCTGTACGGGAGACTGGATGGCACGCTGGACAGGAGGCACCGCGTGCCAGAGGTCGCAAACGGGTTTTGATTCCTTACCCGTACCCGTATCCGGCCGCACCAGGGTCGCAAATGGGTACCCGTACCCGTACCCGGCCGAGTACGGGTACTCGTACCCTACCCGAAATGAGTGACAACCGGTTACTCACCAGTGACTCACGGCCTACCCGGACCCGTACCAGGCCAAACCAGGGTCGCAAACGGCTACCCGTACCCGGCCGGGTACGGGTAGCCGGGTATCGGGTAGGGTACGGGTATCGGGTACCCGGTTGCGACCTCTGCCGCGTGCCTACCTGTGCGTCGGCCGGCGCGCCGCCCTGCTTGCCGCGGTCCTTGTCGCCAGCCCCTTTGCCGCCGCGTCCGTGTCGTCCTCGGGGTGGAACTGCCTCCGGCACCGGCGGCGCTCCCTCTCGGGGCATCTGCCTGCGCCACCGAGGCGGGCGCCTCCTCCGTGCCCGCCGGTTGCTCCTCCGGCTTCTCCACGACCACTGCAGACGAAAGCGACACGTGCGGGCGCGTCACGCGCGTGCCCACGTGTGGACAAAGATAAACGACACCCCCGCCCCCCCCCCCCCCCAACAAAGTAGATCGTAAAGAATTCCAATGAAACTTGAATGGGTTTTAGAAATACACGTGAGTTATCAAGTTCATCCATAACCCTCTAAATTGATCAGAAGCTGCATTGCCATCGACTGTTGTACAATCCGCAGAGCAGCGCCGTCTCTAAGAGCTGAAAGAACGTCTCTGATTGACTGGGAGAAAGTCAGAAGTGGCTGGAAAAAAGTTTCAGATGGCTGGGAGAAAGTCTCATATGGCTAGGACAAAGTATCAGATGGCTGGGAGAAAGTCTCAGAGCGCTAAAAGAAAGTCAGAGATGGCTGAGAGAAAGTGTCAAATGGCTGGGAGAAAGTCAGCAATGGCTGGGAAAAGTTTCAGATGGCTGGGAAAAAGTTTCAGATGGCTAAGAGATAATCTCAGATGGCTGGGAGGAAGTTTCAGATGGCTGGGAAAAGTGTCAGATGGCTAAGAGATAATCTCAGATGGCTGAGAGGAAGTTTCAGTTGGCTGGGAAAAGTGTCAGATGGCTAAGAGATAAGCTCAGATGTCTGGTAAGAAGAGAAGAAAACCGAATCAGAAACACCAGGGCAGATAATGAGAGGCTGACCTAAAAATAAGTGGCTCCAAGTGATCAGTTGGAATATTAAGGGCTGTGGTTCAGGACGATGTGGTTAATGGTCTGGTCGTTGTTTCTGCAATCACTTTCTTTGAATATCCTCTTGTGAACGTAGTTGTGTTTGTCAATGTAAGTGTGTGTGTGCGAGGCTGTGTTGGCTGGATCATGTAGCCCGCATGCCCAGCCACCACATGTCCAAGCAGCTTTTGTGTGCCTAAAGAGGACTAAATAAGTGCGGCATGGGCTACAGATTAGATAGGCTGATGGGGTACAGCAACATGTGGAGCTGAGTGAATTTGCCAATGATTGCTACCAGTGGTGTTAAGATCGCCCTCTATGAAGGAGGCTCGTGAAGGACGCTATTGGGCAGTTGGAGGCGGTCGCCCTCCAACAACAACGGAGGGCGGAGGAGCAAAGCTCACAACAACGAGCGGAGCGCCTTGCGGCTAAAGCAAAGAAAGTTGACGCAGTAGGGAGCACAGGCAGTGCATCTGTCAATCATCTCAGTCAGTCAACCCATGGCACCTGGATCAGTCACGTGACCTCTTGCCAGCAGTGAGCCTTCCACACTTCACGTGGCCTCGAGGTGCAAAGACAAAGATGCCGTGTATAGCCTTAACAAACTGTTGGGGCAAGTGCTGTTAGAGAGCACCTATGAAAGCCAGAAATGCACCACGCCCAGCCACCTTTGTTTCCCACGTGGCGATGTTTACGACACACCGCACCAGGTACTCATTCGACCTAGGAGAGGCCCAGAACCGCTTAAGATAATCGTCGCCGGTGTCGTCCGTGACCGGAAAACGAACTCGCGTTGCTGGGTTCATAGCACAAGCGCACGTACCGCTACACTACCACTTTCCATGTCACCACCACCACCACCACCATCATCATCATCACGACCATCATCAAGGTGCACCTAGCCTGGCACACACACTCACGCTTGAGCTCGGCGCGCTCCTTCTCGCGCAGCGTCTCCGCGAACGCGGCATCGTCCTCGCTGAGCGGCCACGAGTCGCGCAGCACCCGCATCTCCAGCACGTACACGAGCGCCGGCTACACACGCACACAAAGACAAACATCCCCCGTGTAGCCTGAACGGACTGTTGGGGCAAGTGCTGTTAGCGAGCACCTATGAAAGCCGGAAATGCACCACGCCCAGCCACCTTTGTCTCCCAAGTGGCGATGTTTACGACACACCGCACCAGGTACAGTGAGGGAAAAAAAGTATTTGATCCCCTGCTGATTTTGTACGTTTGCCCACTGACAAAGAAACGATCAGTCTATAATTTTAATGGTAGGTTTATTTGAACAGTGAGAGACAGAATAACAACAAAAAAATCCAGAAAAACGCATGTCAAAAATGTTACAAATTGATATGCATTTTAATGAGGGAAATAAGTATTTGACCCCTCTGCAAAACATGACTTAGTACTTGGTGGCACAACCCTTGTTGGCAATCACAGAGGTCAGACGTTTCTTGTAGTTGGCCACCAGGCTTGCACACATCTCAGGAGGGATTTTGTCCCACTCCTCTTTGCAGATCTTCTCCAAGTCATTAAAGTTTCGAGGCTGATGTTTGGCGTAGAGCCTGAACGGACTGTTGGGGCAAGTGCTGTTAGCGAGCACCTATGAAGGCGGGAACGGCACATGAAGGGGAAAACACGCATAACCGAGTTTGACTCCCAAGTGGCGATATTTACGCATCGTACCAGGTACTCATTTGATGCTGAGTCGACCTACGGGAAGACCAGGACCAGTTAAAATAATCGTCACCGGTGTTGGCCGTGAGCGGGAATTGAACTCGGGTCGCCGGGTTCGTAGCGCAGCGCTAACTGCGATACTACCGCTACAACAACGACAACAACCGCAATTCACCACTAAGTGGCGGTGACGTCACCACGGCACTTGTGCCAGGCTATGTGCACGTTGAGGCCACGTGAAGAGTTGAAAGCCCGCTGGCAGGTCACGGGGCAGACCAAGCAGGTGCCACAAGTCGGCTGACTGAGATGAGTGGCCGATGCGCCACCTGTGCCCCCTACCGTGCCAACTTCCTGTGCTTTAGCCACTCGGCATTCCGCTCATTGTTGTGAGCGTCGCTCACAACTGCCCAGTAGCATCCTTCATGAGCCTCCTCCACAGAGGCTGATCTTGACACTGCTGGTACCAGTCATCGGCAAGTCCACTCAGCTCCACATCCTCCTGTACGACATCACTTCCATCTCTTCTCCAGCCCGTGCCGCGCCCGTTTAGCCCTCTCTATCCGGCTGAACAAAAGTTGTTTAGGCATGCGGTGGCTGGGCATGCGGGCTACATGACCCAGCCAACGCAGCCTTGCCTGCCGGAGGAGCTCACCGATGGGACTTTGTCCAGATCTTTCAAGGATTTGTGAGCTCCTCACATAATCCAGCCTGGTTAAACCCAGGATGGATCGTAGGCAGGCCAACCTAAATGATTCTAACCGGCGAAGATGTTCCATTAGGGGGGTCCACGTTTCGCAACCGTAGAAAAGGGAGGGCATGATTGTGGCCGAGAAGACCTGAAGCTTTGTGCGGAGTGACAGACCAGGTAGCTTCCACACAGCTTTACGCAACCAATGAACAGATAATGCCGCTCGACTGATTCAAAGTGAGACATCTGCTGTCAAACCGGAGCCGGTCATAAGCACACACTACCGCTCCCCACATGCACACACAACACACGCACACATGCATGCACACACGCACTACACACACGCACACGCGCACACACACACGTACACACACACGTGTACACACACACACGCACACATACACACATGGTGCACACGCGCACACACACGCGCACACACAGAGCACACACACACACACACATGGTGCACACGCACACACACACCTGCGCACACACACAACAAAGATCCCCTCCCCGTATAGCCTTTTAACAGACTGGCGGGGCAAGTGCTGTTAAAACTCAACGATAAATTATTTAAATTTTACCAGGTAAGGCTCACTGGGCTATATGTAGATCTTTTTTTCACAAGCGACCAGGCCGCATATGATCGCTCAACAAAGTGGCTCATCGTGTGGAAAATCCATTACATGTATTCCCATTGATTGTGTATACATTGTCCAGGCCACAATGCTCTTCACCAAAAATTATATCGTAACCAATTTCATCCCGAGCGTTGCTATCAGTGTAATGTCACCACGTGACGGCAGCCCATCCGAGTGCTATCTAGGCTCAACCCCCGCTAAGCTTCTGAGACCGGGCGAGATCGGCCAGAGAGCCGTACGCGCAAATATCCGCGCCGAGACAGGAAGACAAGAGGTGAACTGCCAAGAGCGGTGGGGAAGGTGCAACGGGAAGCCGCCGTTATTGCCACCGCCGGTTCCGTCCGTGCGCTTTCTCTCTCTCTCACTCCGCGGCCTCCGCGCGACCCTCTCCCGCCACTCACCTGCTCCGGCTCAACTCGCAGCGTCTCCGGAGCTGCCAAGGGTCTGAGTTCGAGCCTCCGCTTCGACCTGTGGGGGCGCGGGAGCCAGGCCGCTGGGGGGCCGCGATGTCGTCGTGGACGACGACGTTGACGACAGCCGCCGTCGCCCTTCCCGTCTTCTGCCCGCCGCCGGACTTCCTGGCGGGCGGCGGCGCCGGGTTCGCGGGGGTTGGAGACTTGGCACCGCTGTTTGTGCCGGTGCTGGCCGGAGCTATCACGGAAGTGGTGGCGTGCGGGGAGGGGGAGATGGGGTGAGTGGTATTACGGACCAGCGATGTCGTATTAGCTGCTTGTTGTGGAGGTTCGCGGTTGGAATATATGTAAGTTTCGATGTAAAGCTTTCGTGACTGCAGGGATTCATCTTCTTGGTTCTTTCGGTAAAGTCACGTAGAATGGAAATAATAAAATAATAAAATAAAACATAATAAAATAATTCTCACGACGTTTCGGCCACCTGAGGACGGCTGCTTGCATTGTGGCCGAAACGTCGTGAGAATTATTTAATTGTGTTTTATTGTATTATTTCATTATTTCCCTTCTACGTGACTTTACCGAAAGAACCAAGAAGATATATGTAATTTATTATTATTATTTTTTACTGGGTAAGGCCCACCGAGCTATGCAGCTCTTTTTCAGAAGCGACCTGGCCACAAATGATAGTGCAACGAAGTGGTTTATCACGTGGAAATGTATAGCATCCAAATACTAAGTGTGGAGGGAAAAATACACGCGGCCGCGGGGAGAGAGAGACACCGCAAACTCCAAATATACAGCAGGCATCAGGGTCGGGATCGAACCCACGACCTGCTGTAGACCAGGCGAGGTAGTTACATCTTGGCACCGCGTCGCTCCTTAACGGAACAATCACGCTCTGCCTGCGTCATTCGTAAAAGAGTGGGACATGGCGTGCCCGGTGACACGGGTCAAAACATCACACCGGCAAACGCTCCAATGGGGATCACGCATGATAGCAGTGATCATCGCCCCCCCTACTCGCCAACTGCTGCCACGTTTGCAGGCCAGGTGCCACGTTTCATTTGTGCTGCACAAAGGTGGCGGTGGCGGGGGTGCCCTTCTGGTGACGCGAGATGTACGGCGGTTGTCGCGCGGAGGAGGAGGAGGGCGGCTCCATCAAAGACCGAAATCATCGTCGCCGTCGTTATGACGACGACGACGACTTCTATTCATACACCACCCGTCTCGGAGGGGCGACGCAAGGAGACACGTTGCTGAAGGGGACGCCACTCGCGACCGCTCGCCGCCGAGTGATTTGCCCGAGTGTTGACGGACGTCGTGACAAACGACACTATTTTAGGATTATCTTGGCAGGGCAGTGTGCTGCATCGAAAAAATAAATAAACGAATGATAGTAATTAATACTTTTTAAACATTGCAGATATCCGAGGGGAGGTGCAGAGGTGTTGCGGTGGTTAATGACCGCACTGCACTGTAAACGCAGCGAGTGATATCACATGTGATGTATGTGTGTGTGTATGTGTGAGTGTTACGAAACCCAACTACCCGAGTTTGATTCCCACTCGCGGACAACACCAGTGACGATTATTTACACGCGCCTCCCCTAGGTCGACTCAGCCTCAACTCACTACCTGGTGCAGTGTGTAAACATCGCCACGAGGGAGACAAAGGCGGCAGGGTGAGGTGTTGGCGACCCAGCCCCTCGTGTGCTGTGCCAGCCTTCATAGGTGCCCGCTAATAGCACTTGCCCCAACAGTCTGTTCAGGCTATACGTGGGATCTTTGTCTTTGTAAGTGGGTGGGGAGCAGTGGCATAGTGGTTAGCACACTGTGCAATGAACCAGCCAAATGAGTTGCAACACCGCTCATGGCTAACATCAGCGGCGAGTGTTACCTAAACCCGTCCTCAGGCTCTGCGCACTTCACCAACCCGCACTGACCAGCATGGTGAAGTATGGTCAAACGACATGCATGACTGGCACACTCTGCTGCCCATGACGTAGCCCCACGGCCGATGACCCCTACCCAAGCATCATCCAGGTTCAACCTCGCTTAACGCCCGAGATATGACCAGGCCAGGTGCATTCTGGGCAATTTGAAAGTGCTCATCTCCTGTTTCACAGCCTTGAGCCAGTTCACCACGGAAATTCTACATTCCCATGGCAGGGGTGAATCTATCCAGAAGACAAGCACCGTTGACCTCTCAACAAAGTGGTACTAACTTTATCGACCCACACGATTTGAACCTGCGGCCCTTCCGTTTGGCGAGTCGCTCGCTCTCCCGCTGCGATGCACGGCACAGGGCACCGGGCCAAGCGCGGCCTCCCCTAATGCGCTGGCCTGCCCGGCTTGTCGATCGATCGGCAAGGAGCGAGCGTGCACGGGGCGCCCGGGCCCGGCCTTTTAATTTTACAAAACCGCACAGAGTTAGCTCTCGCGATCGAGACGCTTGCAAGACAGCCGCGTTCTAACGTAAAGTAATGGGTTTAATCACTCGGAATGTTGCTTTCGTTGCCTTGCGGCGGGGGGGGGGGGGGGGTAGGCTGGCTAGTGGAGAAAAATGATTACGGCTTTTCTACCGCTTGGAGGAGACCTTTTAAAGAGCCGGTGATAATTGAAAATCGGTGCGGCGGGCACCCGGCAGGAATTGGCCTTTAGCGCAGCCTCGCGGGCTGGACCACTGCCGTGGGTCTCTGGGGTCGTGCCGTACGGCTCTCCCGTGTGCCGCTCGCTCTGGGTGTGTTCTGCCACGCGATGTCCGACGTTCCGCTCCGCGTGCCGGGAGCCGCTTCCGCTCCATTTCCGCGACATGGGAGCGGTACGGCCCGACAGCGCGTTGGAGTACAACCGCGAGCGAGCTCATGGAAGCCGACCGAAGCTTCTGATTTGCATTTCCCTGTCCGAGCGTGAATCGGTTACTGACGGAGACCCCGGCACGTGCAGCGAAACGTCGGACAACATGCTGAAACCGGTGTAGACTGGTTTAAATAGGGTAGAAAAATACGCCCTCCGCTGAATCGAATCACCCGTAGACTGCGCGAATGTCATCAGATCCCGGAAGCTAAGCAATGGCTGGGCCTTGATAGCCCCTCGAACGGGGAGACCGTCATGCATAGCAGCGTGTGATCACACACTTGCCGTGAGCATCGCGATGCCACGCACTTGCTCGCCAGGAGATGCCAGTGGACCAAACGTGGACTCCACCCGTTCGATTCGTACGGGACAGAGCGTTGAGCCCTCACGCGCGCGGATATTCTGGCTGAAAACATCTCGATATGCAGAGGACTGCAGAGCTCGGGTGAATTTTTGGTCGCGCCTTCCCACTTGTCCGTCCTCACATCCCTCTAAGAGTTTTTTTTTGGGGGTTTAGATCGCATTAGTGTGTGTCGTGAACCCACCGCCACCCGACACACCCAATTGGCAAGGTTTTATCAAGTAAACAAATCGTGTCAATTAGTTACTACTTCACCACGCCGGATTCGTTGGAGAGTAAACCCGCGACAGTTACGATTCGAGTACAATGTGACGTTTCTTTGGTTTGCTGCAGCTCCTTACTATTAAAATTCCCTTCCCATTATTACTGCTAACCCTACTTCCTCCCTTTGTTGCTGCTAATCCTACATAATGCACGGGCATAGTATGACTTTGAGACCCCCCCCCCCCACACTTCCTACGCATTCCACAAGTAGTGACTAATCCCATATCTGCATTATCCATAAATATGCTAAATTCCTCTGTTGATATGCAAATTCATTTGTCAAGGCGCCCTTTCTCCTCTAACTCAGCTTAAATATACGCTGCCAAGCATGGTGGTGCTCATTCAGACGCTGTCTTTCCGACAGACCTGTTCTTCACCTGATGACGGCCGCTTGCGTTGTGGCCGAAACGTCGTGAGAATTGTATTTTACTATGTTTTATCTTTATCATTTTGTTATTTCCCTTCTACGTGACTTTACCGAAAGAACCAAGAAGACGTTTCTCTGGTGATTACAACAACCAGCTGGAAATGAGTCTGCTCACTTGCCCCCCTCCCCCTCTCCCCCTCCCCCCCTCTCGGTGCGTGCCCACGCGCGCCGTCTCACCGAGCTGGGTGGCCGAGCGGCGCCGGGCTCCCCGCAGCGCCACCGCGACGATGGTGGCGTCACCGCGGCCCGTGGCACTCGCCACCATCCTCTCACCCTCCAGCAGCTCCAGCGAGAGGCGAGCGCTCGCCAGCGACGCGTGCACGCGCAGAGACACCAGCTGGTCCACGCTCACTTTCATGCGGTACCTGTGTGAGTGCGTGCGTGCGTGTGTTCGCGCGCAAACGGCGGTGGATGCAAGTGGTGAGCGCGCTGCGCTACGAACCCGGCGGCACGAGTTCGGTTACCGCTCACGTATGCCGACACTGGTGGCGATTATCTGACAAGGGCAAAGATCCCCCGTATAGCCTTAACAGACTGTTGGGGCAAGTGCTGTCAGCGAGCACCTTTAAAGGCTGGAACGGCACATGCCCGGCCGCCTTTGTCTCCCCAGTGGCGATGTTTAGACACCGCACCAGGGACTCATTTTAGGCTGGGTCGCCCTAGGGGAAGCCCAGGATCGGTTAAGATTATCATCACCGCCGTTAGCGGTGTACGGGAATCGAACCCGGGTCGCCGGGTTTTGCAGCGCAGCCCGCTAAACCACAACACGCGCGCAAACACACGAAAACACACGCGGGGTCGCCTCGACCTCTGACCTCATGGCAAGCCCCTGCTCGCCGGGGACGTGGTATCTCCGAACGTCGCGGGCGGCGAAGGCGACGGCGATCGGCTCGCGCTCGGGCACGGGCAGCGCGCCGCCGGAGCCCACGATGCGCAGGAGCCAGCGCCCGCCCCCGCCCACGGGGGACTCCCCGCTCTCCGCGTCGCCCACAAACGTGTAGCCGCTCTGATCGGGAACACGGTGGGGGGGGGGTGGGGTGGGCGGCATTGGTTGCTGTCCGTGGCGTCTAGGCAGGCATTGTGGGAGTATTCAAATGCATTTCATGCACGTGATATACTTCGGCGTGAGAACAGGACAAAGAGAAGGATCCCCCGTATAGCCTGAACAGACTTTGGGGCAAGTGCTGTTAGCGAGTACCTATGAGAAAGGCACGGCACACGAGGGGGTGGGTGGCCAGCACCATGTCCAGCCGCCTTCGTCTCCTTTGTGGCAATGTTTACACGCTGCAGCAGGTGCTCATTTAAGGCTGGGTTGACCTATACGAGGCCCAGGACCGGTCGGTTCAGATATCATCAAACTCGCGAACCCGGCTCAACGTTGTGGCACGTCCCATCTGCGACGTCACCTATGCCCGCGCGTCAGTTAGGAAGCCAGCCAGCCAGAAATAAACTATTTTCCTCGTCGACTACGATACAGCCACAGCGTCAATCAGGGCGACCCGCTGGATTTGAACTGCGAATATCTGTTACACGTGCCGAATACGCTGCCGCTAGGCGATGCCACGGTCCCAGTGTTAGAACCCTGTGTATCCCTTGCATATCTCCTGTGTATCCCCTGCGTATCCTATTTATCCCCTGTGCATCCCCCGCTGCATATCCCCCGCTGCGTCACCTTGTTGGGAGCGAACACAGCCGGCCTGACCAGGCAGCGGGGGCCGCCACGTCCGCTGCGGTGCAGCAGTCGCCCCGTGTCGTTGTCGACGATGTGGAGGGATGAGCGCGGAGCGGGCGAGTGGAGCTCCGCGGAGAGGCGAGTCTCCTCGGGCACGCGGAACACCGCCCTGCGCGCCGCGTCGCACCGCACACCCCATTATCCGTGTTTCACCGTCGTCCGTGGACAATCCACTGCTGGGTGAAGGCGCGGTTAGCGATGCACAGGAGGCCATGGGATCGAACCCGACCGTTACGCCTGCACATGTGGAGTCTGCATGTTCTCCCCGGATCCTCCGGTTTTTCACCTCCACATTTATCAACGCGCATTTAGAGCAATCTGGCTGCAACAACGATAAGCCACTCGGTCGACCTGTCATTTGTGGCCGGGTCGATTCAGCAAAAGGTCTACACAGCTTAGTGGACCTCACCTGGTTTAGCTAAATAGTTTAACGATCGCTCACCTGAACAGCAGGAACCAGGAGTGGGGCGGCTGGTCCGAGCAGCTGCCCGAGTAGTCGGCGAAGGACGCTCGGCTCCCCTCGTCGGCGGCGAACGGGAAGCGCCCCAGCAGCCGAGCGTCTTGCGTCAGCACGTGCCTGTAACTCGCAAGCGGGGCGACGGGCAGGCCGGTGATGGCTCCGATGCGTTACCGGTCGCGGGGGTGGGGGTGGGGAGAGGTGGGGTTGTACCGCGTGTTGTTCGGCACGATGTCCGACGTTTCGGCGCGCGTCCGTGAAGAGCCTCTCGGCACGTCGGGCATCGTGAGCGACGGCACGCAGGCACAACCCATTCTGCGCGTGGTCATCGCCCGCCCAGGCCCTATCCAGGCTCAAGCCCGCTTGGTTTCCACTTCCGGCTTTCGGGATCCGAGAGGATCGGGCAGATTCCGGGTGATTCGATCGGAGGCGGTGGTGGAGCTCATCAAGTGTGCAGGCGGTGAAACTGCACCACAGCCCATGAGCACGGGGAGGCCCAGGTACGTCTGGAACACTCTCTTCCTTCCGATATTAGGAAGCCACTGGAGCTATGCACTTTGAAAGCGTCCCGTTTGAAAGCTCATTTAATCATTACTACTGATTGTTGTGTTTAGTTTGTTGGCCACCACCCACACCGCCAATTAGCACGGTTGGCTACGTACGGTGCGGAAGAAGCTCAACGTACATACATCTGGCCATGGTGGCGAAATGTTAACTACCTCGCCTGTTAACCGGGAGGTCGTGGGATCGATCCCGACCATTACGTCTGCACATGTGGAGTTTGCATGTTCTCCCCGGGTCCTCCGGTTTTTCACCTTCACATTTATCAACGTGCATTTAGAGCAATCTGGCTGCAATAACGGTAAGCCGCTCGGTTGAGCGATCATTTGTGGCCAGGTCGATTCAGGAAAAGAACTACACAGCTGAGTGGGCCTGACCTGGTTTACTTAAATAGTTTAGCACGTACAAATTCAGCCGTGTATATATATTAATACTGGTCCTCCAACAATCCGAAACTAATTGCCTGCCTTAAAGAACATCCGTCAATAGACATTTCCACAAACGCATTGGCAGGGCGTCCGACAATGGGTGACGGAGATGGGAGGCTGTGTGTGCCCGTTGACTCTCTCCGCGTGCAACAACAACTAGCTGCTGCTGGATGACTCTATTACCACATACAAAACAACTGGGGTAATTGGACAGGACCCTCCACTCACGTGTATACCGTTCCCTCTCAGTTTAACACGTAGGCTTTCGCGACCAATATTATTCATAATAGAGATTTTTTTTGGGTCAGATCGCGTTATTTCTAAATGTGTCGTAACCCTCCACCACCCGACATGGCCAGTCGGTAAAAAATGTGTCACGTTTTTTCAAAGGACAAAATAATTCACGTCTTTAGCCCACCGGGTGTGCTGAAGAGAGAAAATCAACAGCATTTTAAAAATTTGAGTAGCACGACGTTTCGCTGGCAATTACAATCAGCTTCATCGGGCAAGAATACGTGACGCTCTCCCGTTGCTCCCGGTCTTAAACAGAGCAGCAGCAGCAGGGTGACGTCATCATTCAATCTGGTGCAGTGATTCGGGACAAAGAGGGGGGGGGTGGGTATTGTAATTATATAGATTTGTAATCATGCAGTCGGACAACACGGGGCCCGTTCCTGCAGGCTTCAACGTGCTCGACGGGAACCGCGGGATTCGCCACCGGCGCGACGCCGACGGGGTGGCGGTGGCAGGCCGGAGTTCGTTCCGCCGCCGGTGTCGCCAAGGGGCGGCACGTACCGCAGCAGGGCGGCGCCGTGCCGCTCCGCGTTCGGCTCGAGCAGCGCCCACAGGCGGCCCAGCGTCCCCTTGACGGCGGCGCTCTCCGCCGTGCCTGCGGCGTCACACGGAACGTCGCGCCAGGGTCATCGCGACAGCGTCGTGCCAAGCGTCACGCCAGCGTCACGCCAGCTTCGTGACGTCACACCAGCTTCGTGACGTCACACCAGCATCACACCAGCGTCACACCAGCTTCGTAACGTCACACCAGCATCACACCAGCGTCACACCAGCATCACGCCAACGTCACGCCAGCTTCATGACGTCACACACGCATCACGCCAGCTTCATGACGTCACACCAGCATCACGCCAGCGTCACACCAGTGTCACGCCTGCTTCATGACAACGTCACACCAGCATCACGTCAGCTTCATGACAACGTCACACCAGCGTCAACGCAGCGTCAACGCAGCGTCACACGGCATCGCTGGTGTGTGTTTCGCGAGCGCTTCAGACCTGGCTTGCGAGCGTTGCACAAGCGCCGCGCGTAGTGGCCCCTCCACAGCGCCTGCACTCTGACCGCCGCCGCCGCCGCCTCCTCGCTGGTCACTACCCGGGCCCCCCCCCACGTCTCGGGCGGCACCCCCACCCTGCCTGATGGGGGGAGGGGGGGTCAAACAAAACAACTACTGAAGGAAATAATGACATTTTCTCGCAGTACCAGGAGAAAGGGAGCACTATGCTTGAATTTGTTGTTTTGATTTTTATTTCGATTTAAAGCTTTCGTGACTGCAGGGATTCATCTTCGTGGTTCTTTCGGTAAAGTCACATAGAAGGGAAGTAATAAAATAATAAAAATAAAACATAATAAAAAAATTCTCACGACGTTTCGGCCACAACGCAAGCAGCCGTCCTCAGGTGAAGACCAGGTCTGTCGAGGCGACAGCGTCTGAAGTGGTTTTCACCTGAGGCTGGCTGCTTGCGTTGTGGCCGAAACGTCGTGAGAATTATTTTATTATGTTTTATTTTTATTATTTTATTACTTGTTGTTTTGATTTGGTGCACGCACAACGCAAGACGACAATAACCACGACACCTTGCCGATCTCGTCAAGGAGCATAAACCATCACCACGCAAACTCCGGTGGTCACCCTCGCAAGCGGTCGTGGCTTTTGGCTGGACATCGAACAAATGCGGTGTGGGCACCGAATCGCGCAGCGCTTTCAGACGCGCTTCTGCGTCCGTCTGGAACGTTCTTCCTTCCGATACTAGAAAGCCACCGGAGCTACCCACTTTTAAATGATCATCGAGATTGACAAACTCAGTTCTTTGTTGTTTAACTTATTGTCCTTCTCCTACACCTCCGATTAGCACGGATGGCTACGTAGGGTACATTCATACATGATCATTATTGACAAGTAGGCGGTCGCGTCCAATATTATTCATAATAAAGGTTGTTGGGTTAGATCGCGTAAGTATAGATATTGTCGTAGCCCTCCACCACCCGACACAGCCAGTAAGGTTTGTCACGTAAAGAACGCGCCAATTGGTTTACTATTTCAGCCCACGGGGGTGTTGGAGAGTAAATCCACAACATTTAAAATTTGAGTAGTACGACGTTTCGCTGACAAACCTTACTGGCTGTGTCGGGTGGTGGAGGGTTACGACACATTTATAGTGACGCGATCTAACCCAAAAAACTTTTATTATGAATAATCATTATTGTTGTCACAAAGAGTGCAAACGGACTTTCGATGTCCCAGGAGAGCTGACAGACTTGTCAGTACGGCACGACAGCTGCTTCCTCAACAACACGAGGGGCAATCCTGGGAAAACCAGGGCGAGTGGCAACCCCGACCCAGCTCGCACGTGCACAGCACACGCTTGTGGCGGTGAGTGGAGGGGGAGATGGAGGTAACGATGATTGGAAGGGAGGAGAGGGGAGGGGAGGGGAGGGAGAGGGGAGGGGTGGAGGGGAGGGAAAGGGAGGGAGAGGGGAGGGAGAGGGGAGGGGAGGGAGAGGGGAGGGAGAGGGGAGGAGAGGAGAGGGGAGGGGAGAAGAGGTGAGGGGAGGGGAGGAGAGGGGAGGGGAGGGGAGAAGAGGTGAGGGGGGGGAGGTGAGGGGAGGGGAGGAGAGGAGAGGAGAGGGGAGGGGAGGGGAGGGGAGGTGAGGGGAGGGGAGGAGAGGGGAGGGGAGGGGAGGAGAGATGAGGGGAGGGAGAGGGGAGGGGATGGGAGGGGAGGAGAGGGGAGGGGAAGGGAGGAGAGGGGAGGGAGAGGGGAGGGTAGAGGGGAGGGTGGCTTGTCAGAATTGAAACAAGAGATGGCGTGATGAGTGAATGAATTAAACAAAGCTCCATTGGATGATTAATGGGGTGTGAATTTCAGTGTGGGCACGTGGGGTGCTGCTCGTGGCGGGGGACAAGCCTGTGTCGACTCACGCGCCCCGTGACTGACGGAAGAAATTGGGTTAGCGTCAAGCACACACCGACTCTCATTTGCAATTCCCACTTTTGTTGCTGCTGCTGTTGTTGTTGTTGTCTCGTGCTTGACCATTAATAAGGGAAATCATCAGGATAAGTGACATCTCCAGACAGCGACACTGACAGTGGCAGCCTCTGTGATGCATCCGTGCGGCATTCCTCCCTGCTATTACCCCCCCCCCCGCCACACAGTGTGGAGTGTGTGTGGGTGTGTGTCACTGTGTGTGTGTCACTGTGTGTGTCACTGTGTGTGTCACTGTGTGGGGAGCGATAGTGTAGTGGTTAGCACGCTGCGCTATGAACCCGGCGACCCGAGTTCGATTCCCGCTCACGGCCAACACCAGTGACGTTTATCTGAACCGGTGCTGGGCCTCCCCTAGGTCGACTCAGCCTCAAATGAGTACCCGGTGCGGTGTGTAAACATCGCCACTGGGGAGACAAAGGCGGTCGGGCGTGGTGCTGGCCACCCACCCCCTCGTGTACCGTTCTGGCCCTCATAGGTGCTCGCTAACAGCACTTGCCCCTACAGTTTGTTAAGGCTATATGTGGGATCTTTATCTTTGTCACTGTGTGTGCGGAGTTTGTGGGGAGCGGTAGTGTAGCGGTTAGCGCGCTGCGCTACGAACCCGGCGACCCGGGTTCGATTCCAGCTCACGGCCAATACCAGTGACGATTATCTGAACCGGTTCTGGGCCTCCCCTAGGTCGACTCAGCCTCAAATGATCACCTGGTACAGAGCGTACACATCGCCACTGGGGAGACAAAGGTGGCTGGTGTGGCTGCTGGCGACCCATCCCCTCGTGTGCCACGTTGGCCTTCATAGGTGCTCACTAACAGCACTTGCCCCAACAGTCTGTTAAGACTATATGGGGGATCTTTGTTTTGGAGTTTGTGTGTTTTCCCTCTGTTCTACAGAGGGTGAGTGAGTGGGTGAGTGAGTGTGTGGAGTTTGTGTGTTCTCCCCCTTTTCTGCACAGTGTGAGTGAGTGGGTGAGTGTGAGTGAGTGGGTGAGTGAGTGTGTGGAGTTTGTGTGTTCTCCCTCTGTTCTACAGAGTGTGAGTGAGTGTGTGGAGTTTGTGTGTTCTCCCCCTGTTCTACAGAGTGTTAGTGAGTGGGTGAGTGAGTGGGTGAGGGAGTGTTGTGTGTTCTCCCTCTGTTCTACAGAGGGTGAGTGAGTGGGTGAGTGAGTGTGTGGAGTTTGTGTGTTCTCCCTCTGTTCTACAGAGGGTGAGTGAGTGGGTGAGTGAGTGTGTGGAGTTTGTGTGTTCTCCCCCTGTTCTACAGAGCGTGAGTGGGTGAGTGAGTGTGTGGAGTTTGTGTGTTCTCCCCCTGTTCTGCAGAGCGTGAGTGAGTGTGTGGAGTTTGTGTGTTCTCCCCCTGTTCTGCAGAGCGTGAGTGAGTGGGTGAGTGAGTGAGTGTGTGGAATTTGTGTGTTCTCCCCCTGTTCTACAGAGCGTGAGTGAGTGGGTGAGTGAGTGTGTGGAGTTTGTATGTTCTTCCCCTGTTCTACAGAGTGTGAGTGAGTGGGTGAGTGTGAGTGAGTGGGTGAGGGAGTGTTGTGTGTTCTCTCCCTGTTCTACAGAGTGTGAGTGAGTGGGTGAGTGTGAGTGAGTGGGTGAGGGAGTGTTGTGTGTTCTCCCCCTGTTCTACAGAGTGCGACTGAGTGGGTGAGTGAGTGGGTGAGTGAGTATGTGAAGTTTGTGTGTTCTCTCCCTGTTCTGCATTGGGTTCCTCCGGGTTTTCCGGATTCCTCCCATGACTGAAAACACGACTACGTAACTAGTATCAGCAGCTAATGATCCCAATAACTATCGGCTTTCCCGGATAAACAAGCACGCTTTATTATAAGCACCATAGACTCGGCAACAGTCATATGCGCGCCGCACCTTCTGGGACCGTGCCGGTGGTGAGGCCAGGGAGGCTGAGTTCGCCTGTGAGGGCGTGGAGGGCGAACGGAAGGTCAGAGGGCACCGCTCCGGACAGGGCGCTGGCCAGCACGTGGCACAGACTCCGCGTGACGATCTACACGCGCACACGAAGACAAAGAGTCCCCCGTAAAGCCTTGTCAAGACTGCAGGGGCAAGTGGTGTTGAGCGAGCACCGATGAAGGCTGGGCACGGCACACGAGGGGGTGGGTGGCCTGTGCTCAGCCCATCATCCTTCTCGGGCCGATAATTGAAGTGCCGCTTCGTGTCGAAGCCAACAGTGGCTGGCCAATGGCTTGACGCTCTTATTATAATTTACACGGTCACCGCCCCAGGGCCGCGAACGGGAGATCAGCATCAATGCCTCGATGCGCACTTGAGCAGGAAGTCACTTTGACTCAATCCTTGTCACTCAAACCACCCCGACCATCGTCCGATCTCCGCACGCTCAGCGGGGTGTCGAGCAAGGATCGCGATTGGATGGATGTCAGCTGTGGGGGGGGGGGGGGGGGGCGATTAGGTGATGCGCAGCAGGGGACAGTATGGCAGAGCTCACATTGACTTGCTGCGCCCGGGACTCTACGCTCCAGCGTGCGGGTACTTGAGGCAGGACCCGGAGAAAAAAATCCACGCGACCACGGGGAGAGAGACGCAAACTCCAAATATACAGCAGCAGGCGTCAGGGTTGGGATCGAACTCACGACCTCCTGTATACCAGGCGAGGTAGTTAACATCTCCTAGCCACCGTGATGATGATGAGAGAGAGACACACGCAAACTCCAAGTATACAGCAGCAGGCGTCAGGGTTGGGATCGAACCCACGACCTCCTGTATACCAGGCGAGGTAGTTAACATTTCCTCGCCACCGTGGCGCCCACTAATTTAACCTCGCACGGCACCGTGTCACTACCACTCACGTGTCAGCTGTGTCCCTGAGCCCCCCCCCCGAACCAAATCCTGACCCCATCCTCCCCTCCCACCTGCCCCCCCCCTACCCCACGAGACGAATCCAGTGTGACAACTCCCTCTGCCTCTGGCCAGCGCCGGCTATTTGCGGAGGTGGCGACGACTCCTGGTGCCGCTCTCCGCGTCCCGAGAGGGCATTGGGGACAGGCGACACGGCCGAGCGTCGAACCACGGACAACGCCAACGCCGCCGCAAGTAGCAGCGGCCCGCAGGTTTCACAGTTCCAGCCCCGGCGGCCTACTCCCCGGTTGAGAACGGTGAATCGGCACGCGCCACCACCAGCACCACCACAACCGGCGCGCCGTCCGCTATGCGGCGGGACGTGAGAAACGAACGGAAGGGCAGGAGGCCGTGCGTGCCGCCGTCAGCGGTCGCAACGCCCGGCAGAGTCACACCGGGAGCCACGGTTACTCGACTCACTCGGGTGGTGCCACCCAGGCAACATTGCATACCAGGCTCTGAAATGACTGCCGACTGCACCAGACTTTCGCGACGGCCTCGCGCGTTGAGTTGGGTTGTACCGGGGAGTCTCGCTGAGAACGCGGAGAAACCCCAGGACGCGCACGAGGGGATCGCACTGCAAGCTCCACACCGCTAGATCCATCTTTATTGAGCGTTTGGCTGCGTGTGTGTGGGAGGAGGAAACCTGGAGAACCACTGCTGGAGACGAGGGGGTGGCACTCGTCACAGTTGGGAGTCACGCTCTGCTCGCTCTGGGTGCTGGTGGTGCTGGTTGTGGTGGTGCTGGTTGTGATGGTGGTGGTGCTGATGGTGGTGGTGCTGGTGGTGCTGATGGTGGTGGTGCTGGATGTGGTGGTTGTGGTGGTGGTTGTGGTGGTAGTGGTGGTGGTTGTGGTGGTGCTGGTTGTGGTGGTGCTGGTGGTGCTGGTGGTTGTGGTGTTGGTGGTGCTGGTGGTTGTGGTGTTGGTGGTGCTGGTGGTTGTGGTGGTGCTGGTGGTGGTGGTTGTGGTGCTGGTTGTGGTAGTGCTGGTGGTGCTGGTGCTGGTCGTGCTGGTGGTGATAGTGCTGGTGGTGTTGATGGTGTTGGTGCTGATGGTGGTGGTGCTGCTGACGGTACTGGTGGTGGCGGTGCTGGTGGTGGTTCTGGTGGTGGTGCTGATGGTGGTGGTGCTGATGGTTGTGGTGGTGCTAGTAGTAGTGCTGGTAGTGCTGATGGTGGTGGTGGTGCTAGTGATGCTGGTCGTAGTGGTGGTGATGGTGGGGGCAGTGGCTGTAGTCATCGCAACGCTCAATGATTTCTGTCCAATCACAGCCAGCGTTGACAAGGAAAAAAACCCCACTTCGTTCGGCAAATTATTTTGTTGCTAATCTCGTTAACAAAATTAATGCCGAACGCAACCCGCCGGGTTCCGTCAGCGGGCGTTGAAATCTATTTCATTGCCCATTGTTTATCGTGTTTGCGACAGCAATAGAACAAAAATATGGATTTATTTTTCCACTTATTTATTTCTTCAATCGAATTAGGGCTGCCATGAATATTTAATGACACACCACCCCACCCCCGACCCTCGAAAAAATAAATAATGAAAACTTTCAAAAAACCATTCCCCTCTAATGAAAGCGAACGCGGCGAGAGATGAGCGTTTGAAGTTGCGTGCTTTTCGCTTCTCCTCCCGCTCCTCCTCCTCCCGCTTAACGCGCGTATACATATTCTTAAGTTTTTTTCGGTAAAGTCACGTAGGTAAAAAGTTTAAAAAATTTTTTTTAAAAATCACGACGTTTCGGAGACAACACAAGCTTCCGTCTTCAGGTGCAACCGTCACAGCACGATATCTGCATCAAGTGAGAGAGATTCCAAGAAAACAGTCCTTGTATATATACTGGTTGAGGGTGGGAGAAGCCAAGGTAGGCACCTGGATATTATTATTGTGAGGTTCGGTGCGACTGAAGCACGCTGCTAGGAATGAGCCTTTGTTGTGTAGACTGGTTGAACTGGGAGGTTCCAAGAGTTGTTAAGGTGCGGCTGATGTAAAGGTACGTGTAAACGGGACTGAGCCTTTTGTTACGTAGAGGTGGTGCGGCTGAAACCGCTGCAAGGAATGAGCCTTTGTTGTGTAGACTGGTTGAAATGGGAGGATCCAAGAGTTGTTAAGGTGCGTCTGATGTATGATGCTCGTTTACCCCCCAGAAAAGCCTCGGAGTCTCTGAACTGTTTTCAAATTTGGAACCATGACGCCCAGCACACACCTGCCTAGGCTCGCGAATGACGTCACCGGACCTTTTGACGTTCCAGTGTGAGGCTGGCGTGCGTTGGAACGGTTCATTCACGCCGCGGTATCAGCGGAGACTCTATTGAGATTCTAGATTTGAAGCTTTCGTGACTGCAAGGATTCATACTGTTAGGTTTTTTCGGTAAAGTCACGTAGGTGCAAAAATATAATGATACAATAATAATAGATGAAAATAACTAAATTAAATCACGACGTTTCGGAGGCAACACCAGCTTCCTTCATCAGGTGTAAAAAAGGCACAGCACAATAACTGTAGCACACTGTAGCACAGTTATTTTGCTATTTTGCTGTCGTGATTTAATTTAGTTATTTTCATTTATTATTATTTTATCATTATATTTTTTTACCTACGTGACTTTACCGAAAAAACCTAAGAGTACTCTATTGCGACTGCAGGAGGAGGAATCCGATGAGCCATGAAGCCCTTTTGCGCAGATGTCCAGTATGGGCGGTCAGCAAGTCCCAACAGCAAACATTTCGGTAAAAAATTAACCCGTAAAAACAAAGTTTTTCACTATAAATCCTTTATATGCGTGGCATCGGTTTTATTTTATTATTCATTTCTGTTTTTCTTGAGTAAGAGTTACATTTTTATCACATTGGTATTTTAAATTAAATATGAAAAAAACATTTTCCTAAAAAGTGGAAAAATTTGGATTTTTTTCACGAAAAATAAATTGTCACGCACAACGAGTCTGTGTGCAAAATGTCAGCTCGATTGGATCACGGGAAGTGGGTTAAAAAACGACCGAAAGATTTGCACGGTCGTAAGCGCGCAAGCAAGCAAGCAAGTGAACTTAATATAAAGGATTTAAAAAAAGAAAAACCCTCAATATGTCAAGAGCCACGATGCGCGTGAATACGAGACGCTGGTCGTTAAGCCTCTCCCGTTGGGCGATGTCTGCAAGTTGCAGGGTGGGGTGTCCCGTTCACCGCCGAATCTCAGAAACGTCGAGCGGCTCAGCGTTAACGTCGTTAAGAGAGGCGTGGTAGCGCCGCTGTTTTCGAGGACATTGTTACTCACCGCAGCGACACGACCGCCGCTGTGCCCGCTCGCCCTCCCGCATGGCCTTGTGGGAGCCTCGCTGCCCATGGAGTTGTTTGAACTTAACTGTTTCTTCCGATTCCGTCACTGTGACGTATGCACGCACTGCTTTTATGGCTTTATTTTGGTGATTTTCGAAAAATTTTTTGTTTTGGCCATGTTTGTTTGTTGTAGTACAGAGTTAGACTGATGGCCTTAATCTAAGTTGTATTGTGGTTGTTGTTGTTTGACTTGCATCCCACTGGGATATTTGCACAGGGTTGGTGTACGGTGATTTTTTCTGCAATATTTTGCTGTCTTTTCATGGATTTTCTGTTTGCACATAGTCACTTTAAGATGTTTTCTTGTTCATGTTTTTGTTTTTTGTTTGTTGCGGTTGCACCCGAGTCAAGAGCCGAATGGCTCACAGGGCTACACCTAATAAATGAACTTGAACGTCACGTTGAACGCGAAAGGGTCAAGAATAAATAACGCGACGAAGCAGGTCCTTGAAGAGGCGTGCGCGGCCAGTGGTGAATGTACGCACGCGTGCTGAACGTCTTTCGCACCGCACGTAGCCGTGCGAAATCGGAGGTGCGCGGCGGAAGAAAAAAAACGTACGGCCCCAACCGTGAAGGAGCCGAGCTGGCGATGGCCGACTGGCGGCCCCCCCCCCCCCGCTCCGGTTGCCCCCGCGAGGTGCCGCGACGCGTCTCACCTGCCGCAGCGCACTCCTCTCGTCGGGAGCGCTCGTCCCCGCCGCCGCGTCTATTCCCAGCAGCCCGTGGGGCGTCAGGGGCGGCTGGGGAGCGGGGCCGTCGGCCCAGCCGTGCGCGACTCCCCCGAGGGTCCGCATGGTGGCCAGCGCGTGCTCCGTGAAGCGGCAGCTCTCCTGCGCGGAGGCAACGTCGATACCGTTAACGACGATGTCGTCGTCGTCAATAACGATGTCATCGTCGTCATCGCTACGATTTCATCGTCGACATCTTCATCGTCAACAATGTCGTCGTTGACGTGATCGTCAACCTACGATGTCATTATCGACATCGTCATCGTCAACAACGATGTCATCGTCAACAACGATGACATCGTCAACAACGATGCCATCGTCAAAGTCATCATCATCGTCAATAACGATGTCATCGTCGTCATCGCCACGATGTCATCTTCGACATCTTCATCGTCAACAACGATGTCATCGTCAACGTCGTCATCATTGTCAATATCGATGTCATCGTCAACGTCGTCATCATCATCAACAGTGATGTCATCTTCGACGTCGTCATCATCAACAATGATGTCATCGTCAACAACAATGTCATCGTCATCGTCGTCATCGCCACGATGTCATCGTCAACATCTTCATCGTCAACGACGATGTCATCATCGACGTCGTCATCATCAACAGTGATGTCATCTTCGACGTCGTCATCGTCAACAACGATGTCATCGTCAACGTCGTCATCGTCAACAACAATGTCATCGTCATCGTCGTCATCATCATCGACATCACTGTCATGAAGGACGACATCATCGTTATCACCAATGTCATAGTGGCCATCATGATCATCATCTTTATCGCAATCATCAGCATTATCAATGTGGCCATTGTCATCATCATTGTTATAATTGTCATCACCACCATCGTTATCACTATCATTTTCATCAACATCATCACCACCATAACTATCACCAAAATCGTTATCGTCACCATCACCATAATCATTCGCCATCATCATTATCAGCATGATGATGATGGATGAAGAGACCCCATCGCCATCTCTCTCACGTCCCTGCGATCACCGCCGCACGTAACGTGTTCACGTGTTCGCACACGCGTGTTCACACGCGCGTGTTGACGTGTTCACACGTGTGTTCACACGCGAGGATGACCTTGGCGAGGTATGGCAGAACGGAGTCCTCATCTCCGAGCAGGAAGCGTGTGGAGCTGCACGCGTGCAGGTGCAGCCCGTGCGGCGCCGTCAGGCGCAGACACAGCACGTGCCTCCTGCAAGCGCGCGCACAAAACCACTTGATACAGATATTTTGCTGTGACAGTTTCACCTGAAGACGGAAGCTTGTGTTGCCTCCGAAACGTCGTGATTTTTATTTTTTTATTTTTTTATTTTTATCAATTTTAATTTCATTTTTTTACCTACGTGACTTTACCGAAAGAACTAAGAGTATGAATCCTTGCAGTCACGAAAGCTTCAAATCTAGAACAAAACAGAAACATCACCCGCGGAGCCTTTAACGGACTGTCGGGGCAAGTGTACGCACGCACGGGCGCACGCACGGGCGTACACTTGGTCATGTGTTTGTATGTACGCACGGACGCGCGTACACACACACACACACATGACCGTACGGTCAAATAGATGTAGACCTAAACGTGTGCGTAAATCATGTTTACACATAGAATTGGAATATTTATTTAGACTGTCCGGTAGTTCTCACAGATGTCCAGTGAAGAAGAGCTTCATAGCTCTTCTGATTCCTCCAGGGCAATTACTGATTCTCATTCTGATACAAAGAACTCCCGTGTAGCCTTCAACAGCACACCAGGGGGTGGGTTGGCAGAACCACGCCCGGCCGCCTTTGTCTCCCCAGTGGCGATGTTTACACACCGCCCCAGGTACTCCTTCAAGGCTGAGTCGACCTAGGGGAGGCCCAGGACCAGTTTAGATAACCGTCACTGGTGTTGGCCGTGAGCACACACACGTACACAAAGACACAGATCCCCCGTATAGCCTTTAGAGACTGTTGGGGCAAGTGCTGTTAGCAAGCACCTATGAAGGCCGGTATGACGCACGAGGGGGTGGGTGGGTGGCCGCCTATCTCTCCCTAGTGGCAATGTCTTACACACCGCACCAGGTACTCCTTGAAGGCTAAGTCGACCTAGGGGAGGCCCAGGACACTGCCGCTCCCCACACGTGACTCATAGGGGGTCATGGGCACACGCCTGGGAATCAACCGTGCACACGCAGAAAGTCGCTGCCGGAATTTGTCGCTTGGGACATAAAATGTTGTCCCTCGGAAAATCCAAAGACACGGGAAAGGTCCCTCGGTCTATAGTCGACAGAAGGATCGTCCATAAATGACGTCACGTACCTGGGGGGGCGGTGGGGTCAGACATTTGTGACGATGTGTGACGGTTTGAGAAATGTGACGTCACATCAAAATGCGCAACTTTAAACAAATATAGACAACACGTTCTACTTAATTAAATAGACTTTTTAATAAATGTTTCCTCCTACAACATCAGAGTGCAGCGCCACATTAAATACGCACTACAATGACAATAGTTTAAAGCGATTTGAAGCATGTTTTATTTTCAAAATGGAAATATGGTTTTGGGGGGGGGGGGGTAGAGCTTTGTGACGTCATATTTGAGAGGGGGGGGGTCTGACTTTTTGTGACGCCGTGTGACGAGAGGGGGGGGTGGGTCAAAAATCGTCCAAAATCGCGTGACGTCACTTATGGACGGCCCCTTAAATCTTCTCAACGCAAATGGCTTTCAAGCATTCACTTGACGCGTCACCTCGCCATTTTGTTTGTGTTTTTTTGCATTCCGCCAAATGATCGTCGTGCCGAGTATCTTGCTGCTGCTGCGTCTTGTACGCTGCGCTCTATCAAAACAGAACGATTGCTCCTGCTTGCTAGCAAGCCTGTGGCTGCTGACCGCTTATCGTCAACCACCTCGCGAGGGGAAAATCGTCGAGTCCACCAAGAGCCCAAGGCCACGCGGTGTCGCTGCGCGTCGCACAATGAACCGTAACGCGTCACGCCCCCCCCTCCAAACCACGCCCCCTCCCCTCCAAACCACGCCCCCTCCCCTCCAAACCACGCCCCCTCCCCTCCAAACCACGCCCCCTCCCATCCAAACCACGCCCCCTCCCCTCCAAACCACGCCCCTCCTCTCCAAACCACGCCCCCTCCCCTCCAAACCACGCCCCCTCCCCTCTAAACCACGCCCACTCCCCTCTAAACCACGCCCACTCCCCTCTAAACCACGCCCACTCCCCTCTAAACCACGCCCACTCCCCTCTAAACCACGCCCACTCCCCTCTAAACCACGCCCACTCCCCTCTAAACCACGCCCACTCCCCCACCCCCACCCCACACTCTTCTATGGCCAACCGCAACTGCACATTAACGACAAAAGACAAAGATCCCCCGTACAGCCTCAACAGAATGTTGGGGCAAGTGCCTACGAAGGCCGGCACGGCACACGAGGCGGTGGGCGGGTAGCACCACGCCCGGCCGCCTTTGTCTCCCCAGCGGCAATGTTCGCACCCCGCACCAGGTATCCATTTGAGGTCGAGTCGACCTAGGGGAGACCCGCAACCGGTTCAGATAATCGTCACCGGTGATGGCGGTGAGCGGGAATCGAACTCGGCTCGCCGGGTTCCGTAGCGCGCAGCTTTTAGCGCTAACCGCTGCGCCACCGCTCCACCACGACCGCCCCCTCCCCCTCCACCCCTCCCCTCCTACTCCGTGCAGAAGCTGAGCGGAGTGAAGGTGCGAATGGATTCGGAAAGAATGTAAAGTCACGCGGCAGTGACCTGCAAACGAGAGGCGTTTCTCCCTCCCATTGCCTGGGCGCGCGCGCGCAAAAACATGGGTGCGACATGCGTGCATGCACCCACTCACGTGCGCACATGCATGTACGCGTGCGGGTGTACGCGCACACGAATTGCGTGCACTCACGCGGAGCACGCAGATTAAAAGATATCAACTGTGTGAGCACCACGACCGCACGAACAAGAGCACACGCATGTGCACGTATAGCGACACGTGCACACACACTCACACGTGCACACACACACGTGCACACACACACGTGCACACACACCCGTGCACACACACGTGAACACACACACGTGCACACACACACGTGCACACACACCCGTGCACACACACGTGCACACACACACGCGCACACACACACGTGCACACACACATATACCCACACGTGCACACGCACACACTCACACGTGCACACACACATATACCCACACGTGCACACGCACATGCACACACACATACCGACACGTGCACACACACATGCACACACACGTGCACACACACATACCCACACGTGCACACACACATGCACACACACGTGCACACACACATGCACACACACGTGCACACACACATGCACACACACATACCCACACGTGCACACACACATGCACACACACGTGCACACACACATACCCACACGTGCACACACACATGCACACACACGTGCACACACACATGCACACACACGTGCACACACAAATACCCACACGTGCACACACATGCACACACACGTGCACACACACGTGCACACACACATACTCACATGCACACACACACATACACGTGCACACACACATACCCACACGTGCACACACACATATACCCACACGTGCAAACGTATATCCGCACACACATAGAAATTGCACACGCACATACACCAACACATACAAACACATGAACACGTAACTAAATATATGGTCCTATTTGCACAGACATCCACAGAGACACGCGCACACACACACGCAGATGTGCAACCTCAAAAGATATTCACAACAGCAACCCTGATTCTGCACACGATGCGGAGGAAGCAAACACACACGTGTGAACAAAAACTATTAGCTGCCGAGAGCTCTAAACACTCTGACATGCGGCGTACATGCACACATGCACACCTACACACAGGCCAACACACGCACGTGGCGATCTACACACACACACACACGCGCGCGCGCACACTTACGTCCACAATCGTGAACGCGCGCTACCCCACGCGCCCATACGCAGCAACGCACACGCACACCGCTGTGGATGCAGACAGCTACACGGGCGCGCAGTCACAGGCACACACACACACACGTGCGCAGAGGCACAGAGACACACACAGGCACACGCGCACAGGCACACACACACACACGTACAGTTACAGGCACACACACACGCAGTCACAGGCACACACGCGCACAGGCACACACACGCACAGTCACAGGCACACACACAGGCGCGCAGGCACACACACGCACAGGCACACACGCAGACACACACACACACGCAGTCACAGGCACACACACACACACACGCGCGCAGAGGCACAGGCACACACGCACGCACAATCACAGGCACACACACGCACAGTCACACACGCAGACACACACACACACGCACAGTCACACACACAGGCGCGCAGGCACACACATACCCACGCATAGGCACACACACGCACAGTCACACACACACACGCAGGCACACACATACGCACAGGCACACACACGCGCAGTCACAGGCCCACACGCGCAGTCACACGCACAGTCACAGGTAAACACACAGGCGCCCAGGCACACATACACACACGCACAGTCACACAGTCACACACACACACGCACAGGCACACACACACACAGTCACAGGCACACACGCACAGACACAGGCACACGTACACACACACGCACAGTCACACGCACAGGCACACACACACACAGTCACAGGCACACACGCACAGACACAGGCACACGTACACACACACGCACAGACACACACACGCCCGTGAAGGCGCGCATCCCGTCGCAGATGCGCACACGCGCAAAGAAGACAAAGGCACACACGATCGATCACGCGATCACACGACCGGGTATGCAGGCGGCCATGCACGTGCACATACCCACCTACATACCCACACAAAAGACGAAGATCCCCACTTCCCCCAACCCGTAGCCTTGACGGGATCTTGGGGCAAGTGCTGGGAGCGAGTAGCACCTATGAAGGCCGGGACGGCGCATCAGGTGGTGGCGTTGAAAGCAACACGCCCGACCGCCTTTGTCTCCCCAGCGGCGATGTTTACACATCGAACCAGGTACTCATTTGAGGCTGAGTAAACCTAGGGGAGAGGCCCAGGACTGGTTCAGATAATCGTCACTGGTTTTGGCCGTGAGCGGGAATCGAACTCGGGTCGCCAGGTTCGTAGCGCAACGCGCTAACCGCTCC